TATTTTCAAGGTTCCATTAGCAGTAAGTGGCAAACCCAGGTCAGACATAAATTAAAAAGGAGTTATTGCCAGCACTAGGCTATTCCCTAGAGCCTTGGGGCAGGAGCACAGCAAGGACTTGGAAAGTAATGAGTAAGAACTCTCTCTTGCTGCATAGCAAACCACTACAAACTTAGTAGGTTAGCATGACAACAATCATTTATTTTGCTCACACATCTGCAGTTTGGATGGGGCATGGCAGGGTAGACTCATTTCTCTCCAAGCCATGCCAACCTGGGACCATGATGGTTCACACAAGCCACTCACACAACTGGCTACTGGGCACGTGTTGCTGTGGGGTGGCTCAGCTGGAGTTGGGCTTTGCTTGCAGCACAGACTGGGCTCCAGGGACATGTACAGCTAGAGAGCAGCACCAGCTGTATCTCCTTTTATAGGTCAACCTTGGCAGCCATGTAACACCATTTAGCCTGAGCTCACACAGTCACAAAGGCCTGCCTGATCAAGGGAAAGACTCAACACCATCTCCTGATGGGGGATGGCAAGGTAAGGTTCCAGATGAGGACATGGGACCAGAAATTTTTTTTTGTGGCCATTTTCAGAAAATGTAATCCATCACAGCAAGGAATCCATGCAACCACTCTCCATAGCTCGTGTGTGTGTGTGTGTGTACATGTAAGTGTGCATATGTGAGTGTCCATGTGTGCATGTGTGTGTGCATACATGTCTTGCTCCAGTTTTCTCCTCTCTCTGGTCACATGGCCTTGACCTCTGCTTCATCCTCTGTTTGTGCTCATGGCCTCAGTTCTTCCTGCCTTCTCAGAATCCCCCCTCCTTCCTTTGGGAAGAGCTCCTCCACATTACTTCTTTTGAGAAACTTCCTCCCCAGGTGTTTTTGGTGGGACTATCCCTCAGGCCACCCATCCCTCCCAGGCAGCAAAGGGGTGGCACATGACTGGAGTTGGGCCAATCCAACTCTTTCCTGAGAATCTGACTTTAGTGGAGAATCCCAGGTGCTAGACACTGGTCACAGTTCTGTCAGTCCAACTCAGCCCTTGAGGCATCCACTGTCCAGTTCTTGTTCCCAGACTCCAAGAGCTACCTTACCCGTGCCTTCTGTAGACTCTGCAAGCATCCTGCAGTCTTCCATTAAACACTGATAAATATGCATATTTAGTTCCAATTCCACATAGAGGCTTTGCAGCCATCTGACCTCTCCCACAATTCCAGATGGCTGATGGCTGAGCTGGGAAGAGGGCTGAGATCCAAACGAGAAATGATCCCTACAACTTTCTCAGACAAATGGCATCACTGCAGGCTGGGCAAATGCTCCAGATGGTGCCTCCTTGATACACTACTATTTAATGTCTACAGTGTCCACACCCCCATTTTACAGAGGCAATAACTGAGGGACAGAGAAGGCAGAGCTCAGATTTCACAAGACACTGTCTGACCCCATAAGGTTTGCTCCTTCGGTAAACCTCAGAATCTCCTCAAAAGTCAGGTCCCCAACTGTCCTCCTGGAAAAGCAGCCCAGCTCACTCTGAACTAGCAGTGGCTCAGATGATCCTGCTAAGGCCGAGAGACGGGAAAAAAAAGTGTTTTTGGTGTCAGTGCATGAGAGTCACAACTGCTTTGCTGTCACTGTAGATCGACTGGCTCCAAGTCACACAGCCTCTCATGGCAAACAAATGCTGTTAAGATCCTGCACCAGAGAACAGCACCAGAGAACAACATTGACAATGAGGGAAAAGATCAATCCTGTGTTTACAGACTTAAATATCCTTAAGTCAAGCCTGGGCGTCAGAGCTGCCAAGGACTCTGCCTGTGTGACCAGATGTGCCTGTCCTCCCCAGATGGACTTCATGCTGCACATGCGACCACTGGCTCCTTGGCTGCTTAAACCACTGGGCTCATCTTCAGAAGGTGCCCGTGCAATTTGGTGACAAATCCCACCAATTTGTCAATACACTTCTTCCAAGTTTAAAAGCCAGTCATTGGAGGGATTGTTGGCAGATAAGGAAGCTGCTGTAGATGCAAAATGTCAAAGCATGATTCTGCTTTCCTAATGCTTTCTGGATGCTACCTCGTGCTCGGACCCATATGAAGCACTTAGCGTTGCATTGTTTCCTTCGCTCCTCACGTCAGCCCAAGGAGATGGATTTGACCATTGCCCCTATTCTACAGAGGAGGCAGCTGAGCCCCAAAGAGGTAACTCACTTGCCACAGCCACCCTGCTAATGCTTAAGCCACACTAGTCAAGTTGCAAATAACTTTATGTTTATGCCCAATTTTAAATAGTATAAAAGATAAAAGGGATTTCCTGGCTCTTGAAACTAAAAAGTCCAAACTTGAGGGATGATTTGACTCCCAATATAGTCATCAAGAGCCTGATTTCTTCCCAGCTTTCCTGTCTGCCTCATCATCAAGGGTCTACCACTCAGGGCAGCAAGATGGCTGCAGCAGTGCTATCTACACACCATGGGTCCAGAGGGGAAGGGAGAAAAATATCCTTTCCCAGAATCCCTCAGCAAACACCTCCAGGCTCAATGGCCCTAATTGGGCCTCCCAACACCCTCAGCTGTGCTCAACGCATACAGTGCCAGTTGTATGCCCTTTGGAACCAGGGATGTCTCTGACCTCCCCAAACTCCAGGATCATAGGGGGAATAAAAGCCAGGGTTGCTTCCAAAGAGAGCAGGGAGTGTGTTGAGGACAGATCATCACAACCAGGCAGTTGAGGAGCAATGATTTGAACCCAGGCTTGTCTGTTCATTCAGACAGTATTTATTGAGCCCTTGCTATGGGTCAGGCACAACTTTATATGCTGGAGACACAAACCTAAAAGGACCCGAACCTAAAAGGCAGACCCCACAAACCTACAAGGCAGAACAGCTGCCTCTCAAGGCTAAAGTCTCGCATTTTTAAAAGGCCTTGGAGCTTCATTAACGTTCTTCTAACGTCCTAATGTTCTTCTAACCAGCTTTTCTAGGTATGAATTGACCCTGTGACACCAGGATGGTTCTTTGTCAGCCTCCTTGTCTATAAAATCAGAAATAATGGTACCTCCCCCAATAAGTTATGTGAAAGAAATGAAAGGGACTTATTATACATGAAACAAAAGCAGCACAACATCCAAACTACTGAGCGTGCAGTAGATCAACTCTCATTCCCACTTCCATTCCATCCATGCCGATTTAGATCAATCCAAGTATCACTGCCTTAGGGTTCATAAAGTCATTTCAGTTCATAAAGCACCGAAAATGCTCCTTCACCCTCTCTGCTCAGCCTCCAACGTGTCCTTTTAATAATCCAAACTCTCCACCTACTTAACTGAAGTGTGTGCATGGGGTGGGGGG